CGCGTAGGCAAGCGGAGCACACTGTCATACACTGTCCCGTCAGCCCGTTCAAGCACGTCTGTTGACAAGACAGCTCCCTGAACCAAAATTCAAAAGGCTCTCAACTCCTGTGCATGCCTTTCAGGGGTCATTGGACTTAGTTTGTTTGGGGTTCTAAGCTTATACGTCCACTTACCAAATGCCACAACTCTGTACGTGCACGATATGATATGCTCGAGAAATATGCTCACATGAATAGATTCTTCGTCTGGATTTAGAATCCCGAGACCTTTCGATTCATAGTTGGAAAATGCTGAGACGGGCCTTTGTACCTTTTTTGGTGTTTTCCAGGCCCTGCAGCCCAAAAAAGGTACTCTTTTCGGGGTGGGGATGGTTGCGAAGCCCCGCCCAGCCTCTCCAAACACGAAAGGTACCTTTTTCCGAAGCCCAAAAAAAGATACCTTTTATGGTTGCTTCAAGGGCGATGGTTGGGGAGCCTCGCCAACCCTTTTCGGGATGGTTGGCAAGCCTCGCCAAGCCTCTCCAAACACAAAAAGGTACTTTAGTGTTTTCCAAGCCTCTACAGCCCCAAAAAGGTACTTTTTTTGGGGTAGGACGGCGCTACTAAGCCTCTCCAAACAGAAAAAAGTACCTTTTCCAGGCCTCTGCAGCCCAAAAAAGGTACCTTCTTCGGGGTGTGATGGTTGCGAAGCCCCGCCAAACCTCTCCAAACACGAAAAAGTACCTTTTTTAGTTTCTTCCAGGCCTTTGAAGCTCAAAAAAGGTACCTTTTTTGGGATTGGCAAGCTTCGCGAAGCCTCTCCAAACACAAAGATGTACCTTTTGTTGTCTTTTCCAAGCCTCTACAGCCAAAAAAAGGTACCTTTTTCGGGGTGGGATCCCGCTACGCTACAGCCCAAAAAAGGGTACCTTTTTTGGGGTGGGCGATGGTTGGGGTCCCGGCTGGATTGCGCTGGGTTGTCGTACAACTGGGTTTCGGTGGGTTCGGCGTGGGTTTGGCGTTTGGCTTTAAAACCTCATTGATAAGGTTTTAATCAGGGTTTAATGTGGGCTTAATAAAACCTCAATATGGCATTCATAGGGCTTCAATAAAGCTTTAACATGGCCTTGATGAAGCAAGCTTGAACTGCCTTGGTCACCCAAAAATCTCGACTCCGGGGAAGGAAACGGCTAAAAGCTCATGGGCGCACATGCCCGTCCATTGAATTGTGGCCGGCCTGCCTATTGCCCTTTCTGAGACTACGCCAGTTGGTACGGGGAGCCCACCCTGTAGACAATCCGATTGCAACTCAATGGGCAAGCAAGTGGTCTCACAATCGTTGCCGGGAAAGTCTACGGGCTGAAGTCCTAGTCCTGTCACTTTGGTCGTTTCCCTCTCGGCATCGAGACTTTTGGGTGACCAAGGGCAATTGAGCCCAGCTCAAAGGCAAGGCCGCAAGCAGGGCACGCAGGCACGGAGCACACCTGCCCAAACCGACACAAACCCACCCAAACTCACCAAGAACCTCCCAAACCCTTCCAAACCCTTCCAAACATTCTAGACTACTGCTGCTCTACTGCTGCTGCTGCTGTTGCTGCACCTGCACTGCTGCTGCTGCTGCTGCTGCTGCTGCAGAATGTAGCAGCAGCAGCACCAGCAAAGCAGGTGCAAAGATTCAACCTCTGGACCCATGGCAGACTCCTGGGCATTTGAGACGAATCCTAAACCTCTTCAGAAATCGACGATTTCCAGTATCGCTGCTTATACAAAGATTTACTTTTGGGCCCATGCCAGACTCCTGGGCATTTGAGACGATTCCTAAGCCTCTTCAAAAATCGACGATTTCTGGTATCACTGCTTATACAAAGATTCAACCTGGGCCATGCCAGACTCCTGGGCATTTGGAACGATTCCTAAACCTTTTCAGAAATCGATGATTTCTAGTGATCTGCTTATACAAACATGCCGTAAACCCTTAGGTCTAAACCCAGAGACAGACAGGCAGGCAAGCAGACAGCTTATTCTTTCTGTCTTTTATTTATGAGCTGTGAGGAAGGCCGGAGAGCCGGTTGTAATACAACTCTAGTACTGGAAATGCCTCGTTTGGGGTGTAGTACAATTTTAGTATTGGAAATGCCTCGCTTGGCATTCTGGCTGGATTGTGCTTGGTTGCAGTGCAACTTCAGTACTGGAAATGCCTCGCTTGGGGTGCTTGGTTGTAGTACAACTTTAGTACTGGAAATGCCTCGTTCAGGGTCCTGGCTGGATTGTGCTTGGTTGTAGTACACAACTTTAGAAATGGAAATGCTTCCTTTAGGGTCCTGGCTGGGTTGTGTTGGGTTGTAGTACAACCTTAATACTGGAAATGCCTCGTTTGGCGTTTTGGCTGGATTGGGCTCCGTTGTAGTACAACTTTAGTACTGGAAATGCCTGGTTTGGGGTCCTGGCTGGATTGTGCTTGGTTGCAGGACAACCTTAATGCTGGAAATGCCTCGTTTGCGGTCCTGGCTGGATTGGGCTCAGTTGTAGTACAACTTTAGTATGCCTCGTTTGGTGGTATGGCTGGATTGTGCTGGGTTGTCATACAACTTTAGTACTGGAAATGCCTCGTTCAAGCTCCTGGCTGGATTGTGCCTGGTTGTAGTACAGCTTTAGTACTGGACATGCCTCGTTTCGGGTCCTGGCTGGATCGCGTGTGCTGGGTTGTAGTGCAACTTTAGCAGTTCCCCTTCGCATATCTACCGCGCCGCTCTCGCGCACCTATCGTGTGCGAGGGTTTTGCATATTTTCTATGGTCGATTTCAGGTTTGTATAAACTTACAGACAGCGGTTTTAGGACAGCCCCACATGAGTTCAACTAATAGGAACGAACACGTAATAATCTAAAGCTTTATTTTCCATATTACAAAATCTAAGCTAGAGCAGTCGTCGGAGCCCCGTGAGGACCCCGGCGGATCGCCAACAAAAAACGAGAAATCGCCTGCTCTGGGCATGTCCGCCATCAACACCAACCAGGAAACAACGAGCCACCACAAACAAGAACATGACTGTGACTGAGGTGTGCAAGAGCGACAGCAACAACCTACTCCTTGGCTAGCATGGGCCTGTGTCGCCTCAACCGGACAACAAGATTCATCGGTCGCACGCTGACGCTGCAAAACTGGCCCTCCTTCGAGTCATTTCGAGTCGGACATCGTGCGGAAGGTGGGATCTACGAAAGGGGCTGCACCTAAGCGTATTTCCATAGACGGAGCCGTGGTTGCGTGCCTCCTCGCGAGCCAAGGCCGTCTAACGACCGCTCTCCGGAGCCTTTCAAGCTGCTCCTCGCTGACCTCATTCAATATACGGACGTCCTCCTCGATGCCTCCAGCTGGTCAAGCCCGGCCTTCTGCCTTTCCGCCGAAAAGCAAGAAAAACCACCAAGCGTGCCGGCAGGTGATCACCCTCTTTGCCGCTGCAAGATTTTCTTCCCTACACTCGTGTCCTGACCACCAATTCTGCGAAGCCAAGGCCGCAAGGTGCCTCGGTGCCGATCCCTGCATCGGCAAAGCTGACGACATACGGGCCTCCCGCCGAGACGCAGCGCCGAAGAAAGACATCAAGGTTGCATTCCATCCTTTCGGAGTGCTCGCCCTGCTCAAACTTTTTTGGCAGTGGCCCTGACACCAAGCACAGAGAGAGCTGAAAGACTTGAGCCAACCATACGATCGGCTCACTTGCAGAACTCTTGTCTAACCAGCAAAAGCCCACATTTTACGTTAAAGAGTTCTGGCATTTGGTAAGTGTGTAAGTGGACGTAGAAGCTTAGAACCTCAAGCAAAGCACTTCTAACCCAGCATACTAAGTCCCCTGATCTGGGAAAGGCATGCACTGGAGTTGAGAGTCTGTTGAATTTTGGGAAGGTTCAGAGGGCTGTCTTGTCAAGAGACGTGCATGGACTGGCTGATGGGACAGTGTTCTCCACTTGCCACACACCCCCTGAAAACACACCACACAAACAAAGCCTCAAGGCCACCATCACAAGCACAAAACACCCTTCCGATGTTTCTCTGCGCACCGAAGCCAAACACCGCAGGGATAACGTGCACGAATGCGCATGCAAGATTGAACTTAAGGCTAAGACTAAGAGAAAGCAGCAAACGAGCACGAACCGGTCAATCTCACGCAAGACTGACTAGGCATTCTCGCTTCCCAAATGCCGAGTCTCAGAAGATGGGCAAAGATCTGCACGAAGCGGCCTGGACGCATGTTGCAGAGGTCATCCGGCGCATGTCCCAAGATCCTACGACGTGGCTCTGCCATCGAAACACGAGTAGCCTCAAGCAGGCCTGCAAAGGAAGGTCGAGCCTGAACGTCCGGCGCTTCAAAACAAGTACAGCCCTTCATCCAGGCAAGCCTAAAACTATCGAAGGATTTATCATCTTCTTGCATGTAGCCCGGGAATTCATTACGTGCAAAATCGTGCAAATCTCAGACCCCTTGTTCCAAAATGACCCCTCGTCAAGCTGTCAACCCCCCTCTCGTCAAGGGCTTGTGTAGAAACCAATCCGAGCGCCCCCAGCTTGCAGCACCGCTCTCGCCATTTGTCGTCGAGCAAATCAGTCGATACAAAGTCGAGACCACAACCCTCTGACTGTCATGGGTCATTGTCCGCATCTTTCCACTGCTAGGCCATGCAGCACAAGTAGACAACCCTTGCAACCTCCTGAGCACTGAGAGTACTGACAATGACCCCAGGCTCTGCTTTGAAAGGACGGGCCCACGGGGCGCGAGATCTTTGACAAAGCAACCGGACCTAACTGAACATGCAACCAGTGGCGTGCACGAAAAAATATTAAAATCCTATCCAGCATGTCAAGATGCCGAAGAAACTCTCAGTCCTGCAGCAGGACCCACTGCACATATCCTTTTTGCCCATCAACCGAGTTAGGCAGGCAGTATGCATCTACACTAGCAGATGTTAAGCCACGCATGCTTGCAGCAACTCGCACCGGCCCCCGAGGCATCAAAGATCTTAGTCCTCGTCGGAGTCCGGCGGTGAGCAAGCCCGAGATTTTCCAGACTTGGTGTCCAGCAACTCCCAACCTCAGCAGGTTTCGCGCGACAGGTCACTAAAGCCAGACCAGTCGCAACTACATCCACCCCTAAATTGAAGCTGAAAGGCTGCCGTCCTCTCTCTGCCGCTTGCAAAAGCGGCCACCTGATGCTTTTGTCGGTAGTCCCGCGCTGGGAGCCTTTTGTGCCTTCGCTGGCACAGCACTCATGAGTACGATGGCAACTCTTGGGAGTTCGTGGCGCCTCACTTCTGATCATCACATCGTTGTCCGAAAGTGCATAGACCAGCTGTCCAATGTCGAGCTTTATTTCGTATGGCGCTCCAGGAAAACTTCCAGGCCAACATTTGTCCTTGTTGCCAGCAGATTCTCGGCTCTGCAATCTCAGGCCACGGCAACACAGAAAGCCTAGCAAGTTATGTGAGAGCGAACAACTTTGGCGGTCATTTCGTCGAGAAACCATCACTGCTTCACAAAGGCTTGGACAGCTAGCAGCTAGGATTGCATTCAAGCATCCCGATACCATAGCGCGACGATGGTACCTTCTTCCCATGCAGTCGTACCTCCTGGAGCCTGCGCAGAGGCACTGTTCACGTTCCAACACCGCAGAGTCACCTAGATCTACGCTGTGTCTTGGCCTCCTGTACCAAACCTAGTAGCAAATTGTGCAGAGTCCGCTTCAACACGCAAGGACAAATTCCCAATCGTCACTGTTTTAATGTTATTTAAGAACTCCGTCGACCAATGAAGCTCGAACACACATGAATCTCGAACAAGTATGCCTCGAGCAGATCAACTATACCTATTGAACGACCTTTACCCGATTGGTCAACAGGTCGTGTCACAAGATGACGGAATATTACCCTGCGTAGTGGAAGATGCTTACCTGCATCTCCAGCTCGCACAACTCAACAAGTTCCATGTGCTGCGACTTGCGACTCCTGCTCTCTGACCACACATGATGACGTCAAGTACTGGATGGAGTTGTGCTTTACAGACGCTCATCCTGCGAGGCTCCTCTACTCAGGGCGATGGTTGCGCGGGATCCTGAGCAATTGGTCTAGTGTGTCATAATTTTTGGACGGCAGGGATTCGACGCATGGCTGCGTTGGCGGCGGGTTACGAGTCCAGAACTCGCTCAGCCTTTGCATCTTTCCGTATCGAGTGGGTCGACAAGTCCGACATCCAGCAGATGTCCAGTTTTGCGGCAACACCGCAGAATACCGCCGATAGGGACCGACCAGCTGCGCTGCCTGTTCACCTCTCATGCTTGCTTCAGAGCCTCAAGCGAACTTGAAACATGCTGGAGAACTGGACGAGCATCTGCAGGTGCTTCGTGTTCGTCGTCCACCCACTAGACGAGAAGTACGGACAGAGCGAGAATAGGGCGAGAACGAACCCCCTCCTGAGAAGCCAGCTGATGCCTCGCTGAACAACGTAACTACTTTGAATATCGCCGAACTAGACTTGCTTGGTATAGCGGCTTGTGTTCGCCGTGTTGGCTGCAATGGGGCGTTCGCTCATAAACTCGTGTTGCGACGTTGCTACAGCTGCTGCGAGGGCGATAATGGGCGAGAGCTCTTACAAGGACTGCAGCCGAACATATGCCGAATATGCTCGAGCTATGCCTGTTACTAGCCGGCCTTGGCTTGCCGTCGGATCTCTACACGTCCTGTCTCTCCTATCTCCGTTTCTCGTCTCACGGTCCTCCACGCGGCACCGGACACGATCACCCTCGAGGAAGCGCAATGAAGTTTCGGGCCGGGCTTCTCCTTGCGACCCACATTGCAAACGGTACAAAAAAGAAAGGACGAAAATTATGCCTTAAAGCTGCAAGGGCCGCGGCTTCAGTCTAAAAACTTACAGGTGCCATGATGGCGGGCTGGATGACTGGCTGGCATTATCTTGCAGAAGCGTTTGATCGTTAAGGTCTCCTGTGATGCCAGTGGCACTGACTTTCAGGCATCTAGCCCCGGATGCATCAGCCTGGCTGAGGAAAGCAGCACTGCTTCTACACACCTCTCGACATGTTGTGCGACTATGTGACCATTTCCGGGGCCAGTTCCACCACCGCCGGCAGAAGGGCCAGAAGCGCTGCCGGGTTTGGTGGGACATTATGCTGAGCAGCAATATTTTCGTAGTCGGAGGCCCAATCCTTGGTCCAGCTACGAAGGACAAACTGTCAACGGAGCCCTTTGAGACGAGCCAGATGCCCCAAAACTTGCGATAAGCCTTTGCGCTGAACCCACAAGGAGCCCTGCGATGGTCAGGAACCTTTTAGGAAAGGCATTTCTTTCACAGTTTGAGCGCTGTGATCTGCAACCCCTAAGGGCACCCACGGCGCAATTGATGAGCTGGATCTTCGTGGAGCGGGTCAAGCTTGGCGTGCACAGGGGCAAGGGCTTGGCGAGGGGTGGGAATGACCATAGTATCGATTTGGAGGCACAGCAGCTGTAAGCGCATGAGTTTGTAGCGCAAGTTTAGAGACTGGGCAGGAAGCCCTCACACATTTGCGGCAAAAAGTGCAGCGTCGCTCCAGCTTTCGGCTCGGACAGGTCGACAGGCTAACCTATCCGTGAGGCCATGTTCCTTCCGGAATTTGCACAGCATTCTCTATCATTGCCGCGCGCTTTTGTCGATCAGCCGAGGCTCCAGCGGCGAGAGCTTGAAGCCGTCGCGCTGACAGACCACTTGGGGCCTCTTTTGCAGGACCATGCGACAAATCGGCACCATCTCCTCATAGCTGGAGTACGGATTCAATACCATCCTTACAATGTACGCGCAGCAGGCTCCATATAAGACACACGGACATGAATAAGAACTTCACGACCAATTCCGAAGTTTCGAACAGCTGCAAAAAAGGATCAGCAGGAGGGCTGAGGCCCCGTTTTGCGAGATCGAAGGGCAGGCACCGGCCGCAAGGTACTGCTGCACGACAGAAGCTTGCAAAGGACGCTTTTCCTGCAGAACCAAGGTTTGCGCTCCGCATGAAGCTCTCGCAGCACATGCAATGTGGCAGCAATGCAGCGGCGCAATAGACTGAGAAAATCCATGGCCAAGCGTCGAGCACATTTTTTGCTACACTACTTAAGAGCTGAAGAAAGCCTCGCTCTGGCCTCATAAGCGGACTGCTCCAGGTACTGCATAAACATTTCAGACGTCCAAGCACGGGCTGTCGCTTCTCGGCCAACTCGTCTTTCGAGTTCAGTCAGGACCTGCATCTTGGTACAAGTTCAAAACAACCCAACAAACGGCAGCTGTACAGTCCATCGCAACATGAAAGTTGAAGGGCATCTGAATCGCACGCCATTACGCAAGGCAGGTGGCCGGCGTCATCAGTGTGCCCCTGCTCTAACCGGCAACGGCTATGAAACTACAGAGAAACGTCGTCGTTGCGGTTCACGGTCGTAATTGTCATCGTCGCGGTCGAAGTGGACGGCAGTGACGATTACGACGAGTTCTGCCGCCGGATTCACGGATTCGAAGACGAGCTTCAATTGCGTAGGAGCAGGCAGCACTTTAAGAGTGGTGCTGGTGGTAGCAGTGGCCATAGCAGTTGTACATGAAAAGAAGGCAGTGGCGATGGGGGGTGGAGGAGCAGGAGTAAGAGTCGTGGTAGTACTCGTCGTCGTAATGGAAGTGGTGCCAGTTGTACCAGTAGTAGTAGTAGTAGTAGTAGTAGTAGTGGTAGCAGTAGTAGTAGTAGAAGAAGAAGTAGTAGTACAGTAGTACAATTGTATGGTAGTATAATCGTACAGCACTAAAACAGTGTAAGAAGTAAGTAGTAGTAGTCGTCGTCGTCGTCGTAGTCGTGGTAGTAGTGGTAGTAGTACGAGAAGTGGCAGTAGTAGCACTAGTCGTGGTGGTCGTGGTAATTGCAGTGGTTGTAGTAGTACTAGTAGCAGCAGCAATAGCAGCAGCTGCAGGAGTAGTAGTAGTAGTAGTAGTAGTAGTAGTAGTAGTAGTCGTAGTAGTAGCAGTAGTAGTAGTACTAGTACTTATACTAGTAGCAGTAGTAGCAGTAGTAGTAATAGTAGTAGTAGTACTACTACTACTGCTAGTACTAGTGCTAGTAC